AAGTCAAAAGCCTACCTTGTTCACAAAAAACTCTGAAAAAGTCTCCAAGATTATACTGTCTAAGATAGTAGCACCACTCACAGAGAACACTTACATTTACTATTGGTGTGTTTTAGGCAGTTCACTCAGCTGTGTGTTGAAGCTTATGGTGTTTGAAGAAAGGCTGGTACACTGATCTGTGTTAATAACGCGGTGGTAGGAGCCGCTCAGCCAGCCAGCGGTTATGGCCTGCGGGCATATTACTTGTGACATCACAGATCAGACTGCATTTGGCCCGCGATCAGCCTCTTCTCATTAGAGCGGACAACCTACAGGAGACCCCGGTCATACACGCTGTCCTTTAAAGTGCGGTCAAAGAGCATCCATAAGAGCCTTAACGCTGTTACCAAGCATCCGTAGTGTTACGTAACATACTGCAAATCAGGCTTCCATTTCATGTTCAATGTTTAATAAGGCTCCAGTAACGGCAAAAACCAAGGAAGGCACATGAGCGAACAATCAAAGGAAAGACAAAATATTCCATTCGATGTGTTGGAGTTTACGTCAGCCTCACAGTCCAGAGAGATGCTTCTCATTAGACTCCAGATCCATTGAACGTTCAGCGATTATTATTTCTTTCCTGCCACACTGTGTTCCGGTGGTGACCTGTTTGTACTTCAGTCAAGGGATCCCAGGCTCATTGGTAATCTTATTTTAATCAGGATTTGCAGAAAATACTCTAATTTATAGCAGGCCAAAAAGTCTCCTGGAGCTTCTTGGAGCGTGAACAGAGCCGCAGCGTTAAATATTTCAGTAAACAAGTAGATTTTAAATATATTTAATGTGTCCATCTGAAGTATACACATTCACTGGCTTTCTCAGAGTACTGCCGTGCCATGACCTCTTTAGCTGCATTTAAGCCGAACCACCGGAGAAATACATGCGATGCTGTCGTGATTGCTAGTGCATTCATACATCATGGGAGAAGTCACATTTGCATAATAGGAAAACTATGTTCTCCCCCCACCCTGACACACCTCTGCCAGACTTTCTCACCCAACACTGCTCTCTCTTACTGGGGCTGAATACAGAAGCACAGGTGTGTGTTCCCTCTTAATGTCTGGAACTCATGCACCACCATGAAATAGGAGTTTTATTTTGAACATGACTCAACTCATAGATGCAACAAAGCCTCCAGAAGAGTAGGGGGCAGTACGAAACCTCAAAAGCAATGGTTGGATCTGCCATAAAACGAAAAAAGATGTTGAGGCTCCGCTTTGACAGATAGTGCAAGCTGCTGCTGCAAGAAATATCCTGGGGATGGACTGAAATAAACACAGAAAAAGCTGCTGTAATACAGCCAGAAATGAGCGAGGGAATGAGCTGTACTAAAGTGATGATTTTAGTTGGCTTGCTTATGGGGCTCCTTCTATATTCTGCAATTTTCGTTAGTTATTAAGTCATAATTGGACAGGGTTCTCTGAGTCATATCTGAGTGTTTTAGCATCTCCAGTTCATAAGCTGCATTGGACTCCAATGCTTCCCTCTGAAAAGCACGAGGAAGCAGGTGTGAGCTGACTTCTTTTATCGGCGATGGTGAAGTTAACAACTGTGGGTAAAATGGGCCAAACAATGGTGAGATTCATGCCGAATCAGAAATGTTTTCAGATAAGCTCAGTTGAAACGCAGCTCAAAGACGTTGCCTTAACCGCTAAAACAATCTGGGTTTTGTGTGTCAGATGACCAGAAAGTCTGAATGACGTACTACAAAATCAGCAATAATGTCATGCACAGCAGACTTTAGGACACTTTGAACTTTCCTTGAAATATTAAGACTTCATTGTACTTAAATAACTTGCTCTCATCAGTTCCTGACATTTGGAATAGAGGCCAAGTGTTTGTGACTTCTTTGGAATTTATTCATGCACATATGGATGCATACGGGCATGCTTGGTGGCAGCTTTTGCAAATTAACTCTTATTTTCTTGAAACACAATTACTTTATACAGATATGTTGGCTATGATTTGAATGTGCAGACTAAATGAACATGAGCATTATATTTTGACATATATCAACAAATACATTTCCCCATAAGCGAATGCATTACAATTCCACAGAATTAAGTGTTTGACGCTCAAAATCTACTCTGGGAGGACCCCAAGACTTTTCACCAATGCAGCCTTATACAGAACGATAACACTGGGTAGGATTTCAAAGGGTGGAAACCAGAAAACACATTGAAGAATGTGGGATGTGGAAAAGTGAAAAAAGAAACAGAATGTCTCTGCAGTGTTGGGGAGTAGGAGCCTGGTTTATCTCTCTGAGAGCTCTGCAAAATCTGTCTCGCTGTATGTGCTGCAGTGCTGATTCATTCTGATAAAACTCTACTCTTCACTTGTGTACAAATCCCAAACTTAATTACCATGAGCCAAAATGGAAATGACCTCAATTATGAAGATTCTGCCACACATTTGCCCTTCAGTCTTTTTTGGATCCAATTAAATTAATCAGTGTGTCGTTTGCCAACGTTTCCAAAACTTGTATTTAATATTGATATGGACTAATGGAAAAAATAGTAATGAGAAATATAATACTTTCAGTTTTAGTTGCAGTCGCAGTTAACTACATAAGTACAAAGTTGTTCAGAACATATGACGACAAATGGAATGTTCTGTAACTATTGTAATCATACAAGATCTTCATTGATGTTCTTTAGAATTGATTGAATTACCTGATTCAGACTAAGCATATTTTCAAGAAATAAAATCTAACATAGTGTATACTTAGTTCTTTTTTCACTGACAGTTTTTTTGGTAATCCATAAAGTTGGGTTGTTTGCTAGAAACATTAACAAGAAGAACGGTCAACATCGAAGCAGCAGATACCAAGATATAATCAATCAATCAATCAATGTTTATTTATATAGCCCAATATCACAAATGTTACATTTGTCTCAGTGGACTTCACAGTTTGTACAGAATATCAGTATGACAATACGACACCCTCTGTCTTTAGACCCTCACATCGTACAAGGAAAAACTTCCAGAGAAAAACCCCACAGTTTAAAGGGGAAAATGGGAGAAACCTCAGGGATCCAGGACTCAGGATGCAGGATCCAGGAGACATGATTCAGGATCCAGGACACAGGACCGCAGCAACAGGATCAGCGACTCAGGATCCCGGCGTAGATAGACACCAAAAAGAAATTTGGGGGAAGCTGGGTTATTCGGAACATGAGAGTACACAGGTACAGACAGACAGAAGGAAGAAGTAAGGTGTCCCCCGACAGTCTAAGCCTATAGCAGCTAAACTAACGTGTCTACGTACATGGACTCCCTTAGGATAGGTTGAGGGAAAGGGGTAGTAAGTAAGAAGTAAGGAACAGAGGTGGAGAGGCACAACGTGTCTACGTACATGGACTCCCTTAGGATAGGTTGAGGGAAAGGGGTAGCAAGTAAGAAGTACTTACCGGCTCCCGTTGCACGTCAACATTGCTAACGTTAGCGCTCGATTTCGAGGACGATGTATGACAAAAAAAACTGTCTAATTTCGTCAGTTTAGCAGTTACATCTCCTTGTTCTCTCTTGTCCTTTCTCTTTTGAGCGCCGCTCTTGTGCTTTGGTTTGCTGTACATTATAAATGCAAGCTATTACATTTTTATAATGCTGCCGAACTTGCTGCTGCTAGCTCCAGTACAGTACAGGTTGATTAAACGGTTCGCTCGTCACGCAAGGTATCACATGACGCGAAAGGGAGCAAGGTCATTGGACAGACACATTACAAATGAATTTAGGTTGCTTGGTTACTTTGAAGACTGCGTGAACCGATCAATGCCATATATATATATAGATCGCTTTTCGGCAAACATTTTAGAGCTTTGTGGACTTAATCCGTTGGACTTTGCAACGCGAGCAAAGCGAAGCTTCAAAAGTAGAGCAATGTTCTACTTTTGAAGCTTCGACGGAAGCGTCAGCCAATCGAATCATATGCCAGTACAAGCTCTAGCCAATCAAACCGTGTGCTTGTGTGTCCGGGGCGGGAGATTCATGTGATTGGTTGTTGGTCGAGCTTCAGACACGCCCGCCGGCAAGCTTCAACGCACGCCGCCGTGTGTAGGGGCCATCACCCAGTCTCCCGGCTGCTCGGGAGTTGCCGGGGGACGGCTAGTAAGAGCTACCTCTTGCCGGTCCGCACCGACTAACATGGGCTTTACTGTAGCTGAGTTACTTTCTAAAATGCGGAGCCGGGCTTCTATGGCTATGATTCCTGCCTCCAACCTAGCAACTGTACTACATTTAACACATGTAGGCCTATCGGTACCAGTAAGTAGAGAAGTAACCAAACATGAGACAGATAGAGCAGGAAATAGCACCCGAGGGTGGGGAAAGAGCCATGGCTAGCTATCAAGCTAAAGTAGCTACCGTTAGCAAACCCAAAAGGAGTGTAAGCAACTGTGGAGTTACAGTCGCTAAGAGAAGGAGAGTTATGAGTGCTTAAGCTGTAGTAACGTGTGATTACAACGTCAGGTGCCGTGATCAAGAATTGTAAAACGATCGATTAAGTTAAGATAATATAAGCTATCAGCAGCAGAACAGACACACAGGATAGCCCGGAGGTGACAACAACTACCGGAAGTGACAACACGCTTACCGCAATAGTGAGGGATATAATGCCTTGAATTCCTTATTTTGCGGCCAGACTTCCCAGAATGCATCTCTTAAGTGTATTTGGTTTGACCCTTCCTTCATTGTAAACATCCGTCACACTTTTTGCCTCCAATTTCCGATTTGTATTCTCTAAACTAGCTACATTTAGTTGATTGCTAAGTTTGGAAGACCCTTTTAAATGTAGATCTGGCTATTACCAAAGAACACAACATTGCAAAATAAGGCGCACTGTTAAGTAAATGACAAAAGACAAAAGATGAATGAGATCGAACTGTTTTATTGTCATACTTTCACATTACAAGTATAACGTCAGAATGAACACACACTGCAGTCATCCTCTCTTAGAGGTATTTTCAGCACATGTACAGCCTGTTGATCCTCACAATGTCGATATCGCTCAGTCGTTTACTCTTCCCTATGACGACAGAGGCGTCAGGGATGGGGGTAATGGTCTCTGAATTACCCTTTCCAAGGGCTCTCCTACAGATTTGAGAAAAAAAGAGAATCATTAATGCTAATCTAAAATAGAATTTGGTTCGGCTTGCTCTGTCTTGAATCAGTATTTTACCTTGTATATTGCATAAGAGAGGTGTAGTCATATGGCGTGTTGAGGTTATTGGTGTCAAACTTTTTGAACTGGTATTCAAAAGCTAGGGACATAAAAAGATTAGTAAATAGCTTCCAGACTAAGAAATCAATCAATCATAAATGATGCTGTGAGAGCCTTACATTCAATGATGTTGTCGAAGTTGATTTTGACATACTGGTCGCGGTCGCTCCTCATGTGCTCGTGGTAGAAACCCAGCGTGTGCAGCAGTTCGTGCTGGATGATGCCGTGATCTATGCAGCCAAACCTCTGCAGTGACACCGTCTGCTTGTCTCCAACATAACCCGGTGTCGTCGCACAGCTAATAGTAGAAAGTGAAAGAGAGACAGGGATCATATATATGCAACATGCAACTTTATTTGACTAATACATTTATATCTTTTTGTTGTTGTAACCCTTGTATGTACATTCCTTAATTATACGCTTTTCGATGATTGGAGAGTTTCAAGGATTCATGCAACGGGTGAAATCAGCTGTTGTGAAGCTAAACTTGCAAACTTGTAGGTTGTCAGTAATAAAATAAATATTGGTTTCACATTGGACACAAACAGTGGTGTCCTGGATGAAGTTCCATGCTTGTTTATGCCATCAAACTCAACCATTGCCCTCCCTTTGAGTACTTGCTCACATGCTATATTTTATAATCATGTAACTTTCAAAAGCGTTTAATATACTACGTCAGTTGCTCTTCACGTTGAATATTATAGTAAACCACAAAAGAAATCCTGAGATGCAGAGCTGTTTTGCTGACAAACTGGTTTACAAAGCCATTCTAAAGTAACTATATTTGTATGAAATATTGCTGATAAGTCAAATCAATAGTTAACTGAATAATCTTATGTTTAAAAATACAACAGTTTTTCTAACTTTCAATTTATTTAACTAGATTTTACTCCAACACATGACTTATCTTGACAGTCCTACTACTTTTTTGCCCTTTAAATGTGTACTTTAGTCATTGACTCACCCATATCTCGGTAAAATGTTCAAGTACGCTGTCTGTCTTGCACGTGGAACGTAGCGAATGCAGGTATTGGCCTCAATGTCCTTCATGGCGTACACAATTGTTCTCTTCTCGCTTTGGTCTAAAAGTGCAAATAGTTCATCAGTATCATCACAGATTCAGATTTTTTAAAAGAGATGTGCATCATTTTTAAAAGTAAAAACCTACCATATTTAGAGCTCAGAACATAAGGGACTTCCACATTCCCGTTAGCAGACTTTGGCCAGCGACAGTTGTAGGGTTTGTGTAAACACTTCATCGCATTCCTGGTTCTCGGTATCACCAGGTCTCCCTCCAGCATTAATTCAGTGGATCCTATTGGAAGAAGCAAAAACATCATCAAAATCAAGCTGTTTGTGTTTCAGTATATGTGGTCTATATAATGCAATATAGGAGTTATGCGCTAACATTGTGAGAAACTAATGTTCCTGCACCGTCTTTCTACTATCAGAATTGAATACTCACCGTTGTTCATCCGCAAAATAGTCGTGGTTATATCCTCCGTGTCTGATTGATCCATTAAGATCTCTAAATGGAAGCAAAGCAGAAGTCATGTTACTCTGTTTTTCACACAGTTTTACAACTGATACATTTTCGTCTGTTAGCAAAGGCAAACAGATGCACTGAGGTTCGATCACTTACCACTCTCAGCACCATGATCCTGTGACAAAGTAAAGAAACAACATTTTACTTCAACTTAAACTCACTTTAGTTCAATAAACTGGATAAAGATACATAATGTTGAAAATATGTAATTCATTTAACACAGAGCAGCTGTTGTTAATATTTAGTGAGTCATTTCTTACACTTCCATCTTGAGCGTTGCAGAGGCCCAGAAGCAGGAGAAGGAGAAGAGAAACCATTTTCATCTTGAGGTGCTGTTGCTTGGTCTCACTGGGGACTGATGCTGGAGTCCAGGCACGGCAGAGTTTATATATACTGTGTGTGTGTGTGTGTGTGTGTGTGTGTGTGTGTGTGTGTGTGTTCAATGGGCTCCGTCTTAGACACACAGTGCGATGGGAGTGCCCGGCCCACTGTTGCCACACAGGGATAATCTTATTCTGGAGGGATTACTACGGCCACAGGCTGCTGTCGGCCCGCTTAGCATCACATTTCAGATCGCCTTTTTTTAACCAGCGGGGGATCTGCGCATTAGATTGTGCCTGTCCCTAAGTTTTATCCTAAAAGAAAACAATGCTCCTGGAATGTTCCTATTACATATTTGCAAGCTCTGTGGTAATACAGCTTTTTCCTAAAAGACAGAAGAATACAAGTCATTTCCAGTGCTAAATAATTCAGGTGGAGTGTTATTTTATTATTTGTAGTGTTTCAAATTACAGTCAATACAATTATTGGTGGAGTCAATCAACACTTTGCAACCATATTGATAATAGATATAAAAGATTAGGTGGTTTGAGGCTGTACAATTTGATTATTTCTGCTTTGCTTTGTTTTAAATACCATTATATTGAATAGCTTTGGGTTTCGGACCAATAGTTGAGCAACTTAACCTTACCTTTAGCTGTAGGGAAAATATAATGGGCCATTTTTATAGTTTTCTGCCATTTTATCCAATTAATTGCCCAATTGTGTCAGCCCATATTTCAAAATGAACCTAAATATCTTTTCACTGAGTGTTCAGAGGAAGAAGTAGAACAATAACAGTAACACATGCTTAATTTGACCTAAATATTCACTGAAAATGACGTAACAATCCTTTATACAATCTAAAAAGTGATGAGTATTATAATAATGATAATGAGGGGCTGTAGAAAGAGGGAACAAAACATCCTCTGCAGTTGTTTTATTACTGTGTGAATAGCGTAATTTTGGCTCTGCATTTTCTTTTTCCCTCTCATCTTGTTTATACCACATTTTAATATTCTTATTTCAAGAGAGAATACATGCAGTACAATAAAAGGATTTTAAAAAAAGCTGCTGAGGGAGCTTCTCTTTCTCTCTGCTGTTTTTGTAATATTCCAAAGTGTGACTTATTCGCTTTTGCTATCAGAACAAAATCCCCTTTTCATTCAGGCATTAGCACTTAAGAGCTTGATCACCAACAACTGCAGTGCTACTGACACTATCAGTGCACCTCTTAACACACACAAACACATATCCTATTAAACTTAACAGCCACTGCTGCCTTTACAAGCATTTAGATTCCACAAAGAGCTTTTTAGTTTACGCTGGATGTGAGACCGTACTGTTATGACTCTCTATTTAAAATGTGTTGTTTCAAATAATAGCAATTAGTGGCCTGGCTGTAAAGTGCTGTCGAGTCATTATTGAAGCGCTGCTGCTGCTACTGCATCAGTCCTCAGCTGGAAAACTCTGAGCCTTGGCCACCCCACTGTGATGCACAAAGAAAACCCAAATCCAAAAATGGGTTATTTAGAAAGATGCGTATTCAGATTGATTAGAGGCCTCGCTAATAAATCATCAGCTTCCTGTGGATTGTTTACCAGAGAAGAGGGATGCTGTCTGGCTTCATGGCGCCATAAACAGCTTTAGGATCTGATTTCGCATGTCAAGGCCGGCAGCTCCAAACAGAGATTCCATCGGGGCAACCTTTATATGATGTGGCCCATCGCTGTACATCACAGTAATGTGGCATTTATTATCGGGGAATAGAAATTGCACCGTGTGTGTGTGTTTGTGTGTACGTTTTAAAGAGAGATGGACTGCAGGTGCCGCAATTGTGAACTCCATTTACTGCAAGTCCAATAAAGCCATATGGAACTGTGCATTTTACAATGTTTGCATCATGCATGGGTTTAAATGTGTCTGCCTGTCCAATTCTGGAGATCCGCGTGGATGCAGGTAATCCAATTTGTGTTTGAGAGACAGAGCAGAGCGCGGGTAATGCTCAATGATGTACGACCCATCCTTTTGGTTGAGCTTTATTCCTAATGCCCCCTGACTGCAGGGGGAGGTAGATCTTATTCAATTGGCTGTCAGTGTAAAGCCACCCACACACAAAAACATTTTCTTTTCCAAAGTTGTGGACTTTGTTAACGGGAGGAGAAGCTTTAGAAAAACATCAGCAGATTGTAGGAATTTTTCAGTGTCATTTTAAGCTTTAGTTTTTTATCCTTTTCCCTTTGTCTTCCTAGATCCATGTTGATTTTTCAAAGTCAGGAAACAACAGTTCCATTGTTCTTTAAGTCTATTTTGTTTGTCTCAGATATCTTTAAAACATGTTTCTGAAGGGTTTGACTCGAAATACCAAACAGTTCATGCATTGTAGCATCCCATAAACCCCTCTGTTTCAGCCCTGTGTATCTTTGAATACAAATGGAGATTCAGATCCTAAAGTGGGCGGGTGTTACCTCGTTTGGTTATTGGCTAATTGTTTCCCAACCCAAAAAAAACATTTTGACATCACAAAATGGCCAAAATCTGTTTTAGACAGGGTTTTAGATAAAGGGATCAGGAAAAAAAAAAAAGAGAAACTTTTTTCCTGAAACTTTAAGAATCTCGTAACACAGGAGGGGGGGGCACATATTTATGTATAAAAGTCAAGACATTAAAAAGTTGATTTTTAGGCGACTTTTAACACATTTATGATTGTTGAGGTGGCACTTTCTTAATATATCAAAATGTGATTAATATGAAGCGCAGCAATCCCAAATCTTATGCAAATTATTAAATCCGGATTTTTTTTTACATTTGAAAGAACCAAAAATCTGGCCAGTGTATTCATGGTTAAACTGCCAAAGATGTACTGTCACATGGTAACATATTAGACATTATCCAGAGGCATAACTTGCAGGTTTTGACTACAATGGCAGTAGTGGAGAAATAACATTTGTTTGATTATATTTCCACTTACCATAAAAAAGTACAAATATTTTTCAAAGAATAAAAGAACAGTCAAACATGATTGAATACTAGATTAAAGCTTGAAATATTGACTTGACTGATCGATTGGTGGATCGCTTCATTGTTTGAGTAATTTATTTAAGCAATATTCCCCAACCTCTGCTTTAAGCTTTTCCAACGTGAAATGTGCTGCTTCCCTTTGTTTTGTGTGGTAGTAAACTGAACACAGATGATTACCTGATTAGTCAATCAACAGAACATCAGGCGGCAGGTGCTTCATCGATAAACCGTTAAGGTAACTTTCAGGAAAAATATATACGATTCTGTGGTAGTGTCACAGCACTGGACATATTGCAATGAATCCTTACCATTATTGACACCTCAATTACACAACATGCTACAGGACAGAATTAAAAGCAGAGATTGCAGTTTGTACCCGTGTATCAATACTGCTCAAAATATCAATTCAAACTGCTTTAAATATTCATAATGCATATTTATAGTAATTTCAACACTTGACAACTCTTTTCTTTGGCTTCTTTAATGTGTAAAAACTGTATATCATTACGTTTTGCCTGTTATGTTGGACAACAAAAGCACTTGAAGGCATAACATTGGGCTCTGGAATTTATACAAAAAATGTGTATCCGACAGTGTAAGGAGGTGGATGTGCGTGGTGGGAGTAAGTGGAGCAGATGGGAAGTTCTGGCACGTTCTTCCTGAACACCAAACACCAGTGATGGCGTGCCCTATGAGCCCTTCACTGCTCTACAGTCCATCTCTGTCTCTTTCTCTGACACTACATGGGCAGCCAAGGACAACAGTCAATGAGCAATATCAATTTACGTAATGGACTATTAAACAATGTGCTTCACATTCAGAACGGCTGCACGGGTGTTCAGTGGGAGTGTGTGCCAGGAAGTGCGCTGCCATGATGAGCGCCCTGTGAAATGAGACGCATTAGAGTGCTCTGCTGCCTCCTTCTCCTCCTACACTCGCTCGGCTCACGACACAGATGCCCTACTTGCTCACCCTTCGCTCGCCTTTAACTCCCAAATGTCAAAATAGCAATCTGTTTTGTACACAGCATTCAATTTGGACATCCTCTTGGATCCAACCCCCTGTTGCATTTTGTTGAGTGAGGTTTTAAATAAGCTAGATATTTCTTGTTTTTTCCTCACTAGCTGACTCATTTCTCATCTGTTGTTTACAACGTTAGTAACTCATACTAATAGATTTATTTGGGGTTTTTGAGTAAATCTTTGAAGATTTTCTAAAAGTAGCTCCCTCTTTTTTTGATCTCCCTCTATACTGGAGTGGATCAGGGAAAGTCTTGTTCACACTAATTGACATTCAGACAAACAGGAACAAATGTATTGAATATCAACACCGTCTTAATTGGTGTGATTTACAAGACTTGTAAGAGCCATGCGATTAGTCAATTAAATCAGGTGTGATATTGTAGTAATGCAATTGATTAAGACACAATCCAGTTCCACAGGCCGCTCAGGGAACAATTGTGTTTGGTGGATGCCGTGTCAAGTGCTTTATGAAAAGTTGTACTTCAAAAAGGTAAAGGGTAAACAGACGTCGTAAACGGGATAATTGTATCCGTTTTTTTATTCCATTACGTCAGGGTTTTAAGAGAAATCAACTCAATTTAAATTCACAAAACACTACATCATTACATTTAAGCATACATTACATTACATTGCATTTAGCTGACGCTTTTATCCAAAGCGACTTACAATAAGTGCATTCGACCAAGAAGATACAAACTTGAAGAAAACAGAATCATATAAGTACATCAGGTTTCATAGAGCCAAAACATTTCAAGTGCTACTCAACTAGCTTTAGATAAACCAGTCCTTTGTTAGTATATACTATAAGTGCTTTGTTAGTGATTCTTTGTTAGTAATTCTATCGCTCGAAGTGGAGTCGAAAGAGATGAGTTTTCAGTCTGCGCCGGAAGATGTGTAGGCTTTCTGCTGTCCTGATTTCAATGGGGAGCTCATTCCACCATTTTGGAGCCAGGATAACAAAC